CAGTTTAAGTCAAACCTGACCAGAACCTTCAAGTCTGAGAGTAGTATAAACTGCGCCGAACGTGCAGTGTTTGACCTGCATCTATACAAATTATTGCAACTGTTCTGGAGGTTCTAACTTGTAGCCTTGTACTACTCTTCTTGAGGAAAAATCAAATCCAACTTGCTACTAGTACATTCAGAGTTGTCTTGTCCAAAAATTTAGAGGTGTAAAATGTTGATGCTGAAATTCTGATGAAAATGCAAGGTCGTACTGAAAACCAAAGGTTGACATTCATGGTATGTTTGGCCAAGTTTGACTTCCTGAGAACTTACTCTAATCTTAAGGATGCGTTCTTGTTGGACCGTTAACGGATTATGAACTATCATAAGCATGTCTTATAAGCTTATAAGCAATACGGTATTTAAAGAAAAATATTCACCAGTATTTCTTAGAGAACTATTTAAATCAAAATTTCAATTTTCTATCATATATTAATTTGTGTGTACCATCAAATAACATAATATCAGATACATCTATCAATACTTTAGAACATGGCCTTGCTAAACTCGGTTGACCAACAAATGAAGATTATGCAAGAGAAACACAACTAAAAAGTCAGGGGATGCTGTGCCCTATTTTCCAAAGGAGATGCATCCTGATTCTAGTTTGACAGAGCGTGGAGGTAATTCACTATAGGGACGAATCTGAATAACCATGTGAGAGATGTCTGACGAATCTGAATTGTAGTTCTAAAATAGGACGTGTGTACATCACAATCTCGTTGACAGGACAATCACATGCGCAGTAAACTAAGCGTATATATAATGCTGCCAATTTTAAAATTAAATTTACGGGTTCTTTTTTTCTGCCTATTTATTCTTCAACCATGAATGTTAGACTGCTAAAACAAAATATAAGAATTAATCTTCCCTTAAAATTCTTATTCATTGCATCGTTGGCATGAGCTACAACCATAAAAATGTTTTCCAAGCATACTCTCATTCAGACATGTTCAGATAACTTGCTCTTGTAATAGAGATTAAAAACATTTTTTTTTAAGTTTGCGAGTAGCTCTAGTTCACTAGATCAACTGAAATTTCAACAAAATGTATTGGAAAATATATTCAAAACACAGGGGATGTTTAGATCTAAGGGTGTAAAGTTTTGACATGTCACATCAGATATCATGTAGGATATCGCATGGAGTGTTCGGACACTAATAAAAAAACTAATTGCAGAACCCGTCAGTAAACCACAAGATGAATTTATTAAGCCTAATTAATCTGTCATTAACAAATGTTTACTGTAGCATCACATTGTCAAATCATGGAGCAATTAGGCTTAAAAAATTCGTCTCGCAAATTAGTTACAATATGTGCAATTGGTTATTTTTTAACATATATTTAATGCTTTATGTAAGTGTTTAAATATTATATGTGATATAGTGTAAATTTTTTATGTGGGAACTTAACGGGGCCTATGCTTGACTCCAACATATCCTGGATAAGAATCTGATGAGGTGTCACCACACACAAACACAATGTTTGTTTGTTCCATCTGCACGCGCGGTACAATGTATCCATCCAACCCAAAGCACCCATCTTTACAGTACCTAAATCTTTTTAAATCTGGCCGTACAAGATTCAGTTGTTGGAGACGATGATTTGGTCTACACTCAACTGCTGGCTCGATAATTCCCTCTGCAGAAACTTCCATCCGTCATCCGTGGAATTGGGCCGAGCTATTGCCATCGGTACTGTAGTTTTTAGCTCGTAGCTGTAGTTCTTTCTACGTTGCGTCAGAGCCAGCAAAGTTGAAATTGTGGCTTGCGCCAAATCTCTAATCCACAATAGAACTGTTAGTACAGGAAATTCCCGTGGAAATACTGTAGAGCTCATTCCTGATTTTTTTCCCCTCCTACTTATCTATATAAGAGATACTCTATCCGTCTCAAAATAAGTACACTCAATTATTTTAAAACGGAGAGAGTAATTTAGAAAGAAGATATCATGTTCATTCTAAAGTTCAAGATATTCTCATAGTAATAAAGAAATAAATTATTAGATAACACGTAAATACTCAACTCCGTAAACGTACATTGACACGTACCTCTTAAACGTATGAGCACATCCGAAGATTAAGTCGCATACTGAGATTGACAAAGTGACTAAAGATTTTCACTATCAATAGGTAAAACATCTACTATTAAAATAATAATTAACCGTAAATATAAGCACATGTGATAAATCAATATCTTGAACCGGATGAATAGGATAAGTAACATAACCAATTCAATTACAATATATAGTACTCCCTCCGTCCCAAAATATAAGTATTTTTAGCTATGAATCTAGATAAGCCAAAATTTATTATATTTTAGAACATAGATAGTATTTGTTTTAAGCAGTATTATGATGTGACAAGTACACTTCAGTTTATCCAGACAAACACGTGGAAGTTCAGCATTATAATCGAGGACCAGTTGAATAGAACTGGGGACATGTTGTTTTCAGCTTATGGGTTATTCCCTCCTTTTAATATACAATATAGTAATTGGATATTGTATTAGATTTCGTAGTATTATGATGTATCTAATTTATTATTAACTTGTTATTTTTCTAGAAACACAATACAAATGTAAACGTTCACAATGCGTATATACTCATCTATATGAACACACATACCTTATCCTTGTGAGCACCTCTGAAAGACTTGGACTGACATATTATTATATTTTAGGACAAAGTGAGTATATATTATCATCAACACGTTTCATAAAACTTCTACACAATATGTTTTTTTTTCTTTCAAAACTTTCTTCATAAACTTTTTTTGCATTTCTTAGAAAAAAAATTTAATCTAAAATATTAACTTTCTAATATTTAATTTACTCATTTATGCTCTCCATCAACTGTAATAAAATCAGTTTTTATCCATCATCTACCAAAGAACAGGTTTGAGTCGATGAAAGGTACTACCAGTAGAGAAAGAAGAAACAACCTTTCCTTTGCTGCTGTACACAGACATAGTAACTCCACATCAGCGTACTGATCGTTGCTTCGATTTTCCCGGGACAAAGGATCGTCCCAAATCATCGGAAAAAACGAACGAAATCACCACCGACGCACACACAAAATCGTTCTTGACGGAACGAGAGAAGATAAGATCGATCAGATCGTATCGCGATCGACTTCGTTTTCTTTTCGATCGGATGCGTCGAATCCTGCATGCAATGCAATAAGGAGAGCTTTTTTTGGATGGCCAGTTGGCCACATCTGCGTGATCGATCTTTGCCAGTTTTTTTTTAATGCAAGATTGCTTAACAGTTCGAGGTCTGCGTAGGTGTGATTCGATGCGTGTACCCGGATCTCCCGTTGGCGTAAGCATATTACTCCTCCTTGCTAGCTCCATTAAGCTTTGGAAAGCCACTCATAAATTATGGAGTATATTTTACTTTGCCTGACTCCTCTGAAATCCAATGGCTAAACTAGAGTACTTTGTACTGTTCAACTTTTCAAACTCTGGTGGAGTTATATTTGATGTCTTTTTCCATTAAAAAAATATTTTTCTGTGTTTAGAAACATCAATTGTTAATAACTTTAAAAATTTTTAATTAAAAACATATCTAAGGATGTACTACACTAAGACATGATGTATGTATTAGTCTTAAAATGTACTTAAGTTAAATGTTTACCTATTTTTTATAATTTATAATAAAAACCATATATAAAGATCATATCATTATATAAAATAAAACATTAAGAATTACTCCCTCGTTCCCAAAATAATTATCATATATGTTTATGCACTAAGACCAAGTATAATTTAAATCACATCAATCAAGACACTATGTACACATTTTTCCATAATGCATGTATCGATTAAACACACTATGCCAATTACACCTTAGCATGCACATATTTTCTCATGATGTATTAATTGTATTATTATAAAATTCATATCCATACGGTTATATGATGATCAATTTGAGAAATTTTGATTCTATTATATGATGATCAATTTAAGAAGGAGGGAGTATGGAACCAACTATACATACTACTACTTGAGTACTCGGTATAAGAATTGTGTAGCCCGTTCGGCTAGTTTAGACTAGGGGAACCTTAATTTTCACTCCTGCAGAACATAACAAAAATTAACCTAGCTCATTCCTTGCATAGGTTGATGACTAATTACTCTCTTAAAGTCGTAAACCATGGGTAATTAAGACGGTAGTAATACAAGAGATAGGGTAGATGAGTAGACGAGGGACCGTGCGACCATCCAACACATGAGACCGTACGTATTCATACACACATGTTGACATGTATGGATGGATGGATCGGGGTTGGCAAAGGCATGGGGCGTGACGTCAGCGGATCTCTCCCCGGGATTTTGGTGGGGTCCACCATGAGAGGGGTGTGGACCGGAAGAGAAGAACCCCTGTGTTGTGTTTGCTCCGTTCCGTTTTGAAGCCGTGTACGGCGTTGGACGCTAACCCCCGTTCCGTACGATTTACGTTACAAAACTGCACCGATTTTGTATACACCAAATTCAAATCATCTACTACTACTACTATTGTTTCTGTGCAAATACAGTGCAAAATTACTTCATGTGTTTGATCAATCAGCTCCAAACTTTCGTTATTTATTTACTACTACTACTACTACAGGAATTATTCAGAAAATCCCATGTCGTCGCAGACATTATTGCCAGAAAACAGTGGTCATTAAAATCGCGGGGTCGTTGTCACTGTCACGCACTAATCCGCTGTTTTCTCCGGCCGTTCGCCTGTTTTTGTTCGTGTGATAGCTATCATCAATCCGCTAATTAACTGACAACGCATATTGGAGGACGATTGCACGGCCAGCAACAAGCAAATCTTCGCAACCAAAAAACCATGGGCTGATGGGCTCCCCTCTCCTACGTGGCGCCCTTGCACGAATCTCAAAGGCCTCGTCACCGTCCGATCGGAGCAGCACGAGCTACTAAAATCAGCAGCTTAGCTTCTTCTCCCTCTCGCTCGCATTGCCATCCACCAAAGCCAAGAGCAGCTCAAGCCCACCGGAGGAGAGAGAGAAAAGAGGAAATCATGGAGGCGATTTGCTGTGGAGATTCGGGTGTGTGATCTGGTCGGATCTTGCTTTCCTGGGAGGAGGAAGAAGAAGAGGTGGAGGTGGCCGCGGTGTGATGCGGTGGGTAGTTTGCTTATATCCTCGAGATGCCGCATTAGCCAAGCCAGCCACACCCATCATCATCAGCTTCCTCTCCCTAGCTCCATTGCCGCGGCAGCAAGAAAGAAATCACCAGGAGAAGACTTCTTGGTGGTTTGATATGCTTTGATTGAGCCCCTGGAGAAGAGAGGAACAGAGGCTTTTTTCTCTGCGGGTTCTTCAATTATTCAGGGTTTCTTCTGGTTCTTGTCTCGCCATGACGGTGGTTGATGCGGAGTCGCGGTTCCATGTCCTCGCGGTGGATGATAGCCTGATCGACAGGAAGCTCATCGAGATGCTGCTCAAGAACTCGTCCTACCAAGGTGAGTGCGTGAAAAATGATGTTCTTGACCTTGGATTTGGGTGGGATGTTTGTGTTTTGTGTTCAATGTTTGGTTTGTTTTTTTTTTTTCTCATTTCTTCTTCTGAATTCTCTGCTTGCTTGCTACTGGTGCAGTGACCACTGTGGATTCTGGGAGCAAGGCCTTGGAGCTGCTTGGATTGAGGGATGAGGGTGATGACTCCTCCTCTTCACCTTCTTCCTCCTCACCTGACCATCAGGTCAGTGAATGAGATCTTGTTCTTTTTTTTTCTGTTTCATGTTTCTTTTGAATTGGCTTCTGCTGTGCTTGCAATCCAGGAAATTAACCATGTGGTTTTCTGAACTGTTGGTACAGGAGATTGATGTCAACCTGATAATCACTGACTACTGCATGCCTGGCATGACAGGGTATGATCTGCTCAAGAGGGTGAAGGTAAGTTTTTGTTTGCAGAGAATTGAATTCTTATCCTCTGAGCATTCATAAATCTTGGGTCCTTTTGTTGCTGGAAGTGGAGTAAAATTTGTTCCTTTTGCTGTTCATTTTGGGGGTACAGGGATCATCTTCATTGAAGGACATACCAGTTGTGATCATGTCTTCTGAGAATGTGCCTGCAAGGATCAACAGGTGAGCTGAAAATTCTATCTGAGCTGTCCCCTTATTTTAGCTTATCCTGGAAATTATTGCTGCTGGTCCATGAGGCATACTCCTACAAATCTACCAAGGTCCCTGCTTTTATGATGATTGTTTTTATTTTAAGTTCATGATATTGGTATGCATTGCTGAGGTAGAAAACGAAAAAGATTGTTTATTTTTACTCCCTCCATTCCATAATATAAGGCACATCTATTTTTTTTAGATGTTTCATAATATAAGGCATGATGCATTAACTATGGCCCCCATGCATTGTATTTATTATGATGATCCAAACTACAAGATGATAATAATTATTTCTTGGTCTTTAGGTTAGGGGTAGTCATGTCTTATATTTTGAAATGGAGGGAGTACTGTTTTTGGTGCCTTCCTGGATCTGATTTTAACAGTAACAAACATGGTACATACTCCGTATGTGAGACATGGAAAGGGATCCCAGTTAATTCCCTGAGATGTGGGCCATAGCAAAGTGTGACCCACATGTCAGTGACTCAACTGCATGAGCAGTTAAGTTAGAGGATCTGCTTAACATGGGGTTGGGGAACAGAAGGAATATAATGGCATCATAGCAGTTTTTTTTGCCTAAAAGACTTGAATGCCCAAGGGATTATTTAATGTGTGCAAAGAGCCTGTTCAGACTTTGGGATTGATTTCATAATTGCTACCACTCCGTAAAAGATTCAGAACTTTACCCCTCTAGTTTTCGTGCCTGGTAGTAAAAGGCTGGGCGTCAGGTTTGTCTAAAACTCGCAAAACTGAGAAAGTCTGAACCCTGAAACCTAGTTGAAAGTTTTATTTTTTTGAAATGTTCTTTTAAAGTCCCTACCTAAGAATTTCCGCTAGGTTGTAGTGAAATTATTACAAGTAATCTGAAAGAAGCCAAATGTTGAAGATTTGGCCGTTCAGATATGAACAAAAGAGTGGAATAGCATTGTGATTTGATGGCAGAAAGGGGCGAGAGAAAAGTCCGGGGATTCCCCTCACAACAGCTCTCTCCGTTGATGCTGTTGTAGTACTAGTAGTAATGCAACGGGGGCAATGAATGCATGGAGTTTTCATGCATAGATTGCATATCTTGGTGACAAGGATGTAAAGCATAGGAAAGGTTCCTCTCAATGCCAATGTAGTGGTGGGTCAAGATCTCACAAAATCTTTCAGACACACCAAAAAAAGATTCATTGCAAAAAAATGGATTTTTTTTTGGGGTTCATTTTTGGGAGGTCGCTTTCAGGTGGTCAAAAAATTGGGGCTTGCATTAAAGAGGACATGAAATGGGGCTGAGTCAAAAGAGTCCTGAAATCAAAAGACCAGATCTTTTCCTTGTCCTAGCAAAGATCTCTGACATGTTCTTTGAGTGTTTGTCCTTGCAAGATCCTCTTCTGTTCCCAATGCTTCCTGTATATTGCTAAAGATTTGTGCTTCACAAAATTTCAGGTGCTTGGAAGATGGTGCAGAGGAGTTCTTCCTGAAACCTGTCAAGCTCGCTGACATGAAGAAGCTCAAGTCTCACCTGCTCAAAAGGAAACAGCAGCTGCCCATGGCTGCTGCTGCACCAGATAAGCCGCCACACAAACCAGATGAAGCTGCAGCCTCAGCAGCTGCAATTGCTGAAGCTGCAACAGCTCAAACCGATGGAATCATCAGTGATTGCAGCTGCAGCGGCAGCAGCAAGAGGAAGGCGGCTGCAATGGAGCAGGAGGTCATCTCCTCACCTGATCAGAGGACGAAGCCAAGATTGTCCTCCACTAGCAGCGGCCTTGCAGTGGAGACCTGATGAAACTGAATTAATTAGAATCCCCCCAACTAAGAAATGATTTTGGCCTCTTTTTCTGTTTTGATTTTTTTTATGGAGCTGCTCATGGAAGTATGGAACCATTAGCTCCTGGGGGTTTTAATTAATTTACTTAATTAGTAGTTTGAGGTGAAAGGAAAGTCCACGTACTTTTACACTAGCTCTTGCTTCGATCCACAAATTTTGTTGTGCCAAAGGAACACCATGGCACCAAGTGGTGTTCGTTAGAAAAGGAGTTGTGGGAATGAAATGGAAGGGGAAGTTGTAGATAAAGGCAGCACCTTGGATGCTTTTAGGCTAATTTTAAGGCTTATTATTCAAGCTGACTAGTGTTTTGTTTGAACTTGGAGAGGAAAAAGCTAAGTGCTACTGCTACTATGAATTGTCTAGCAGATTGATGGACCAACCAACTGGTCTTTTGCAAATTGTCCATGTATTCATTTTTTCTGAAGTACTACCATTTCTTCTTTTCTGCCATTATGTTAAAAAAAGTTCTTCCTTTCTGCTGAATTTAGTGTATACTCCTATAGCTCGATTCAGATAACCATGCAAGATCTTTTGATCGCTGTTTGGAGTGATAAAAAGAGGGAGAAGAACAGTTAAGTTGCTGGGTCAGGCCAGCACAGCAGCAGCACAGCCAGCTTACGAGTACGACTCGTCCCTTTCATCTTGAGTGACAATGGAGGCAGACGATCTCGGATCTCTACTGGCCCCCGCTCTTCTTGATTGATGTACGTCCAATCCAAATCTACTACACACGCAAAAAAAAAAATCAAAGGTTTCTCCGACGAACAAGCTGCTAATCAATCTATCCGCTGCGTAATTTATTCAGGAGGATTAGGTTGCAAGCAGAGAGAGATGATCAGTGCTCGTGCGTGTGCCAAACTGGCAATGTTGTTGTGTGTAGCTGCATTATGGAGCGTTCAGATTAAATTTGATTATTGCGTGGTGCTGCAAATGCTGGGTATTTGTGGCATGGAAGCAAACTAACCCGGCGACTGGTGGTTGGCTGGGAATTAGGCAGGATCTGGCAGGATCATCCCGGATCGAATAAGCTAATATTACCCGGAGATCTCTCCGATCTGACTGATCACAATGCCCCCAATAGAAAATTGGGCATTCATATGCAGTCACGCAGCTATTAATCAGCTAGCCCCCCATGCATCTGCCTGCGATTTTGCTGCAATTTTTTTGCCGTCCAACTTGTGCAATTTGCCGGTGGTCCATTTGGCTTGGCATGAGGAAAGGGAATTCATTGCTTGTGATGACAGCCTTGCTGTTAGTACTGTTTGTGTTTGCATGGAGAAGCTAGGAAGATTTGGTGTACCATGCTTGTCATTTTATGCTTTTTTTCTGAAGCCCTTTTTTTTTGGGTTGGGGGATACACAAGTGTAGTACAACCTAGATGAGATTCCGGGTGTCTGACTAATAATCTTCGTTTCTCTTTAATGACACTTTTTTGTGCCAATGATATTTCTCTTCGTGGATGTTTAGGATTTTATAATTTATATACTCCTTGTTTGCTTGCATCCGTGAGATGGTGACGCAGAAAAATAAACAACGGAAATTGCTAAATGGCCGACTGATTTTTTTCTTTAACTCACCGTTTTGTTATTCTCCCTTTTTTTATTTCCATTTTGTTGGACCTTTTTTTTTCACCCTCTGATTTTACTCTTTTTTATTTATAATTTCAGAATCTGTCAGACTTCATGAAATATTATTTTTCTATGTGTATAAGTAATCTCGTTTATACGATTTTACAGTTGGTGGGCTTAGCCCGGGGCCAAAGTGAATGTAAAGCCCAGAGCGCAGATGATCCTGTTGGAAATAATAATTTCAGATGATCCTGTTCGAACATTATGATCATTTTGAAATATATTTATCTTTCCAAAACAGGATGGAAATGATAAAAAAATAATGTGGTGTTTCTTAGCAAATTACATATTTTTTCCTTAGGCTAAGATGCATATCAACAAATATCATGATTTTTAGATCTCTTGTGGTAAATTTTGCCTTTTTTATTCTACTTCTTATTTTAACTTTTCTTCATATTTTGAGAAGAGTAAAATACATTCACGAGAAATCAACTTGACATGTAAGTACAATTTACTACAAGACACATGAGAAGTAAGCGTGCTAGTAGAACAACTTGGTGGGTGTTATTGTAACATGAGTATAATTTACTCTTTTCATCATCTGTCCAACTTAATAAATTTTGTTTTTCTTGTATACTCCCTCCGTCCCAAAATATAATTATTTTTGGACCCTGACACAGTCTCCGAGATGCTACTTTGATCAATAATATCCGTGAGATGTTTTAAATAAAAAGAGTTGCATATTATGATAGTTTGTTTAATAATAAATCTAGTAACATCAATTTTATATGATTGATTTTTTTTTATTAATAGTCAAAATTAAAAATGTTTGACTTGTCACTGTGCTAAAAATGCTTATATTTTTGAGACGGAGGGAGTACGTAAGTAATCTCGTTTATACGATTTTACAGTTGGTGGGCTTAGCCCGGGGCCGAAGTAAAGGTAAGGCCCAGAACCCAGCTAATTAATCTCTGGCCAAGTTCGGAAAAAAAAAAGAGAATATTCCATTCCCAGGCTTGGGCCCATACGAACTCACGTAATAGAACCCGACAGCGATGGGACCGGGCCCACCCAGCCGCTCAAAGCTGGGTTCCATGGTCACTGCCAGGTGGGGCCCAGATTCTGCAGTTTCTTCTACCTTTGGAACACTTGTCTGTCTAATCCACTCCAACTTGATCGGCAGCAACAGATCGCTCGCCTCCCCGTCTCCTCGCCCGCCGCCTTCGCCGATCTCCATCCGGCGAGCATCCCTCCCGCCGCCGTCCTGCTGCTGCTTCCGCCGCCGGTGAGCACACGCACATCCTCTTTCTCATCTCTTCGCCTTAACCTTAGTACTAGAAACAAACAACAGTCTGTTTTCACCTGAAAATAGTTTAGGGCGAGTGAGGTGAGGTGTTCTTCTTATCGAGTTTCATCTCCATGTTGCTGCAGGAGGGGAGGGATATGTGCCTGTGAAAAATCGGAGGAAAGGGGGTATAAATCTTTGACCATAATGGCTGTAGCTTCTGCCAGTGCACTGTTTTCCGCCAAGAATCTTCCGCATAAACCCTGGGAGGACCCGTCATTCTTTAGGTGGAGAAAGCGGGAGGCTCATGTGCCGTTGCGCTCACATGACACACCTGAAGGTAGAGATTGCAGCACTGAACCCAGAACCACTATGTAGGTAGATAGAAGATTTGGTTGTACAGTGATTTTCGGATTGATTTGTTTTCTCTTGTCAATAGGAGCCCTCAAGTATTGGCATGAACGGAGGAATGTGAACTATCTTAATTCTGACTCTGCTGTTTGGAATGATGACGCGGTTCGTGGTGCCCTGGAAAGTGCTGCGTTTTGGTCCAAGGGCTTGCCATATGTCCAGACTCTAAGTGGATACTGGAAGTTCCTTTTGGCTTCCTCGCCAGAATCTGTTCCAGAGAAATTCTATGATGCCTACTTCAATGATTCAGATTGGGAGGCTTTGCCAGGCATGCATGCTACTACATCATTACTTGCTTTTATTAGATGCCTTTAGTTGATATTGTTCTCATTTTTTAGTCAGTAGTGTTCAGTGTTTGCTTATATAGCATCAGCTATTATTTCAGTCTCACTGTAAAGCTTCTAGCTTCTAGTGTTTTATACACTTGAAACAAGACATTTTACTGTCATTTAGTCAAAATGTTCCATGACAAATATTCTAGAATTTCCTCTTATTGTTCATATCGTTTGAAGTTTATACTCAAACGAACATGTGCTTGGTTGCAGTTCCCTCAAACTGGCAAATGCATGGGTTTGACCGTCCAATCTACACAAATGTCACTTATCCTTTCACCATGAACCCGCCATTTGTGCCAAATGATAATCCTACTGGCTGTTATAGGACGGTTTTTCGCATCCCAAAAGAGTGGAAAGGTATGATATGTACTTATCATTCGTTTTCTTATTCTTCTGTTCTTATGCACAGCAAGTCATAAAGGGGCCAGTGACCATGTTTTAAAGTCCAAAATGGATTCCCCTTTCTGCTATGGTTTTCCTTGTTGCATTGCAGCTAGCAAAAACATCCTTATCTAAGAAGAATAATACAAAATATGATTGATATGCTCAAGAAAGTTAGATTTCTTTGTGCCCTGCTGATGGTAACGTCAGGGTTCATTAAATTGAAGTTTTGTTAGTGACAAGTGCCAACAACATCAAGAGAGGATTTTAACTATAGTTGCTTCATCAGCTTAAAAATAAAATGTTAATAGTGACTACCCTGTCGTCAAGTTCCCTATCCAGGACTTACCAAATCCTACTGTGCATTTGTTGAAGAATTTATTGGTGGTATAGTTATTGATTATCGCCTTGGACTCTCTCACATATTTGATTTTCTGACAGAGTATATGTTGTGTGTATGGTGCAGTGTTTGATGCTTCTTATGACATGCTCTAAACTTTTCTCGTATGCATGCATAGTGTCTTTTTTTTCTCTAATAATCACAGTAATGCAGCTGGCATTTGACTGTTGTCCCCTAATGTTCCTGTTCTATATTAAACAGTTCTGGGTTGATTGTGATAGGTCGAAGAATCTTGTTGCACTTTGAAGCTGTTGATTCAGCGTTTTTTGCTTGGGTAAACGGCGTTCCTGTTGGATATAGGTATGGCACAAACAATGCATTGCATTGATTTATTACTTGTATTTTCTCAATTTCTGAAAAATGTTCCAGTGATCTATCAAGTTAGTACCATTTATAAAAGAAAACTACTTCCCTTTTCACGTGTTTACTGCTAATTGGTTTTATCAAGTCTGTTATCTTCTTCGATTATATGATTATCAGACTCAACATTTGCTTGTGCTCACTAAAAGTTTCCTTAGATAGCAGAATGGAATGCATGAATAGTTTTGGCAGCACAAACTACATGGAATAGGATCCATAATTTTGGTACATATAGGCCTCTTCAAATTTTTCATTTATCATCTTTGGAAATTGGAATCACCAAAATATACTTATTTTCAAGAATCCTGGATTTCCCCTAAATCTTCTACTTGTGTCTTCCTGTTATCAGAAATGACACTCTGTTCTTCTGACTATGGTTTAGTTGGACTATTTAGTAGCTCGATTGTATTGATTTTGTATTTTATGATGGACTATGGACTGCTATTCTACTGAATATTACAAAATTAAAGGTGTTTAGACTTCTTGAGGGATGATGATTTTACTAACATGGTCATGTAGAAAATAGACTGTTCATCTAGAGAATAAACAGTTTGCTTGATGTGTTAATGCAGCCAGGACAGCAGGCTTCCTGCTGAGTTTGAGATCACAGATTTCTGCCATCCTTGTGACTCAGAAAAGGAAAATGTTCTTGCTGTTCAAGTGATGAGGTGGAGTGACGGTTCC